TTTCGGAAAAGGCTTTATTTTCCGAAAGATCCCCGTCTAGACTGGCGCTTTCTTCCGGCAAAGCCCCGAGCCGGAAAAAAGCGGCAGCCATGTTTATACAAATGAAGCGGGGAAAATTTAAATCCCCGCTGTATTTGCAATTCCGACTTGTCTCATCTGCATCCCTTTTCCGGAAAAGGGGTCCAGTGTAGACACAGCCCAGATGTGGCCCGTTGACTGAATGTGACCCACGGACCATTAGTTTGCGGCCCCCAATGCAGTTTGGATTTTCGTGGGGCTCAACACACGGCCCACGGGTGGGAGCCAAAACAAAAAACAGAGTCACTAGAATGGTTTTCTGTTGAGATGCGTTTTAGGAGTGAAATTCTTGGACTGTCATTGCTCAGTAAAAATTCTGTCCTGTGGGTGGAAATGGGGTCACTGTTGCATTTTATTAATAGCTGCAGAACCGACTGAAACGGGGCCTGCGTGCTGTGTAGTCTTGCCTTAATCTTTGTAGCCATGCCTGCCCGTGTGGAAGAAGCCATTTGCATATCATTGCATATAGATTTGCATGTATCTGCAACCCACCCTCGGCATGTGCTGTATCATTGTGGCCCCCAGGGCTTCCGAAGTTTAGTAGCCCGGAGCTAGCCCATCCCTGACGGATGCTTTTCTAACCTGCTCTGAAATACTTCCAATGAGGGTGTCTCCATGGCTATGTCTAGACTGCAAGCCTCTTTCGAAAGAGAGCGTCTAGACTGCACGCGGAACTTTCAAAAAAGCGGCTTGCTTTTTTGAAAGAAAGCACCCAGTGAGTCTGGATGCTCTCTTTCGAAGAAGCCCTATTTACATTCAAGAACGCCTTCTTTCGAAAGAGGCACTTTCGAAAGAAGGCGTTCTTCCTCGTGCAATGAGGTTGACCGCCGTCGAAAGAAAAGCCGCGTTCTTTCGATTGAATTTCAAAAGACCGCGGCTGCAGTCTAGACGCAGGTGACGTTTTTTCGAAAAAAGGCTACTTTTCCCGAAAAAAACCCTGAGTCTGGACACAGCCTATAAGGGTCCTTTTCTCTGTAGGACCAGTTCCAGCACCACCAGCGCTGCCGATCTGGGCGATTCTTGTGATCATTCTGTCGGTGGCTGCCATCATCGTTGCGGGCGTCATCGGATGCGTCGTCTGCTGCAGGGTAAAGCCTATGGGGAAGGGGAAGAGGGGTTGGCTGGGTTGGGGGCACCCCTCCTGGCTCCCCAGCTACCCCCGGGCGCTCAGCTGATGATCACTGGTCTTCCAGTGAAACCCCAAGTGTCACCATGCCATCCGCTGAGGAGCTGGGATGACCTGGCCGCCTCCGAAAGGGAGGGAGGGGAAGAACGGAGGAGCGCTCGTTAAAGGGGCGCAGTGCCATTCAGCTACCCCCAAAGCCCCTTACTCCATAAAGTTGACCTCTCAGGCAAGTCCACTACCTCCTAGAGAGGTAGCTCTGGTTTATATTGCCTCCGTAGGCTCCGCCCCTTCCCAGAAGCCTTTGTGAAGATTGGTTCATTGCTTGGGTTTGGGGTTCTTTTTTCCCCTCCCCCGTTGTCTCCTCCCCACCGTCCAATTGCCCTGAGACGGCAGGCGCTCCGCCCGCCGATTGCCCTGGAGCAAAACGGAATCTTTTCCGCGTGTGGCTATTTTGCCATTGGTGTGCGGAATAATGTGCTGTGCACCGAGGCATGAGGGAATGTGCACCCCCAGCTGAAATATAAAACCTAGCTGCGGCAGGGGGG